GCCGATCCGAGGTTCTGGGCCTGAAACATAATCCCTAGCCCAAGTCTATACAGGCCTGGGCCGGGCCGGGCCTGATTTTGAGCCAATGTCACTCATATATAAAACATTATATATATATAAATATATATATATATATATATATTTTTTTTTAAATGACATAACATACATATAAACTTATGTTATACATTATATAATATAAATATTACATATAATATAAATTACACATGTCATGTTATAATATTTATATGTAAAATATATAATATAATGTAAAATAACATGTATACATATGTATACATTATACACAAAATATGTAAGTTTAAATATATGCGGGCTGAGTCGGTCCCGAAACGGGCTGAAATAATCACCCCTAGTTAAGGCATTGGAGCATAAGATAGTTGGAGCATTTAATGATGGCCCACATTTTGCACCAATTTCAAACAAACAAGATGAGTGCAAAAATGGTTTAAAATGTGAGCCGTGTTTGCATTCATAAAATGAAAAAAGGGTAAACATGCAATGTACATATTTGCATTTGCATTGCAATCAAACGCAGCCCAAACAACATAAGATTAAATATAAAACAAGAAAAGGATCAGGATTTACACTCAAATCATTAGCACTGCCATAATTTTGCACTAGTGTAAATTCATTTGCATTGCAACTGTCTTAGGGGTGAAAATTTTTCAGGCTTTAATTTTCTAATTAATTTAGAAACTAGACCAAATTATTAATAATGTATTTATTAATATATGTAATATATAATACATATGTTTAAACCAGTGTTTTCAACCCGCCATTTGTGCGGTCTATTGAACTGTTCAAACTGTCTTCTGTTCGAGAATCCATGCCCAGTTTTAGTAAAACTTGACGAATAATAAAAAACAGTTGACCTGGTCAAAAACAATTCGATCCAAACGATTGGACCATTAATCCGTTTGACCCGGTGATCGGGTTACTCTAATGTCTAATTGAGGTGATTTTTTTATATTTTGGGTAACTTTTCGAGATCTATGTGTTGCAAGCATTGTGCTCCGCTATTTTTGTCAAAAAAAATTTGGCCTCAAATTGTAATTTTTTAGATTCTTTATAAATAAAGACTTTAAAACTGAAGTAAAAAAGATTAATTAGATATAAAATAATACATATATTATATGTGGAACATAGTTACACATTATTTATTGATAAAATACATGTCTATACATACCTATACACACAAATATATATGGTGAACCATGACCCAGAGGCAAAAACAGTTTAGGCTCTAGGTTGGCTTTTAAAACATTGGTCTAAACATATGTATGTATTTATTCATTTAATATTTCATAAATTGTTGTTTCTTGTTTCAATTTTTAATTTATATTTGAGAAAGTGTGAATATAATTAATTTATATCATAGTAATAGATGGTATATGCACTTTAACATTTCAATATAGTATTTAAATTATATTTGTTATTTATTCAGGTATGCATCATGTTATTTGGGCTTTCTAATTAGGGGTGCAACTTGGGCGGGCCAGCCCAAGTCCAAAACGGCCCAACCTGGAATTTTGCATGGTTTAGGCTTGGATTTTTGGTCCTCAGGCTGGGTTCAGGCCCAAGAAGTCGGATTTTTTTATTTTTCAGGCTGGGCTCAGGCCTAGTCCTTAGGTAGCCCAAGCCCAGCATGGCTCAATTATATATATTTATACATATATGTGTGTATATACGTAAATGTTTCATACATATTTACATATATACATAAATATATGAATATATATTTACATAAATACATTTATATATGTATAATTTTAGAATGGGTTCATTGACCAATCTGAGCCCGACCCGGCCCCAAACCCAACCCAACCCAAGTGCATCAAATTGTAGGGTGGGCTAGGCTTGGGTTGGGAAATTCGGGCTTGACCTCAGGATTGAGCTGGATTGGGCTTTAAACCCAAATTTTAAGGCCAGGACTGGGTTGACCATAAACTTGGCCCAACCCGCCCGACTTGCTCCCTATTTCTAATTAAGCCTAATAGAGTGGCCCAAACTGGATTAAAAACTAGACCAAACGTAATACATTAATGGTTCTGTAATACAATGGTTTGATCTGATTTTATTTTTATTACTAAAAATGTTTGATTTGGTCTTAAATTTTTTCAAATAATAATTTATTTGTTTCATCTGAAATTTTCTCTAAACGAAAACAAATATTTATTTCAAAGGAAAAAAGTACTTTCTCTGATTTGATAGATTTACCTTGTTTTTTTTTCTCATATGTTTTTTTTTTTATATTTGAACATGGATTAATGCCGGGAAAAAGCAAATATTATTTTATAAATGTTCATTTTATTGCTACAATTAACCAATGTTTTATTTTGTTGTAGTGTCAGCATAGCAAAACCCCATCGCATTTGCATGATGAAACCGAAGAAAGTTTGTAATCAAAACACAGGAGAACAAACCATGGTTTTTTATAATCCTGTGTTTGACATCAAGCACATAGACAAAGAAACCAAGGGAAACCATATTCCATTTTCTTTAATCAGTAGCGTAATTTTCCATACAAGTTGCACATGCACCAATATGCATGCATTCTATAAATTCAAGCTCTCTTTCGCTCTTTGTTGTCATTTCTGGTTCTGAATCATCACCAAGCTAGTTTTGAAGATGAAGTCTCTCTGCAGCAACACCCGTTCAGTAGTCTCTCTTTTCCATCTCTCTCTCCTCCTCGTTTCAGCTTCTCTCCCATCTCTCACCCTCTCCTCTTCTGTTCGTTGCAATCCGCATGATAAGAAGGTCCTTCTGAAAATCAAGAAATCCATAAACAATCCCAACGCCCTTCTCCCCTGGGATCCCCAAATTGATTGCTGTGATTGGGACTACGTCGTCTGCAACCCTCAAACCTATCGAGTTACCCAACTCGCCTTCTTCCGAGCCTACATCCCCGGCCAAATTCCATCCGCCGTCGGTGACCTTCCCTATCTTGAAACCCTCTCCTTTGATGAAGTCACCCTGCTCAATGGTACCATCCCCTACTCCATGAAATTTATAAAAATATTAATAATAAAGTAATTATTTTAATACTTAAAATTTATAAATTATTTATTAATATTTTAAATAACAATATATTTATTATCTCCAATATTAAATATTATTTATAAAATATTTAAAATATAATATAAATTAACATTATCAAATCTAGAACTAAAGCCTAATTGGTTATAGCCCGTTACACACAGTTGAGACTTGGGAGAAGAGAAAATCAAATCTTTGGAACTAGATTATGGGCCGCAAATGTGAAACCTTATTATGGTTTCATTGACTCAGTTCATTCTTTAAGGATGGTTAAGAGATTGCAACAGAAGCAAGCAACCATCCTTGTTTGACACCATAACCCTAAAAGGGTATTTTAGAAATTTTTAAATCATAGGTTTATTTTAAGAAATTAGCCCATAAAGAAAAAAAAATTGATAAATTGGTTAAAATTAATTAATATTAATGACAAATAATATTTCAGATAAATGTTTACCATTAATAAATATTGATGATAAATATCAATTCAAATTGATTTAAAAATTAATAAAACAATTCATAAAATGATTAAACAAAACGTAAATTACTAAATAATATTATAATTTGTTTTATGAATAAATAACTAATAATTAATATATTCATTAAAATTAGTAAAATTTCATACATAACAGTGAATTTCCCCATACTTTAGTACGGGGCCTTTCACTAGAAAGCTTCTCCTTCAAACACATGGTACCCTATTGTTTCAATTAATATCCTACAAGTGGGTAGTTCCACTCCTAATCTTTCTATTTTCAGAAAAAAAAGAAAAAGAAAACTCCTAAACTTTCTTAAATAAAAGTTCTGTAGCTTAGACACATTAATATCTACATTCAATTCAATGTATAGCATATATGGGACCCATTAAGAAAATTAATCTAATAATTTTTATTTCATTGTTAGAATAACTAACAAGTAGTTATGTTATTAATGTTATTTCATTATATAAAACATAAAATGATTAAATAAATAAATAATCAAAAGCATGACAAACGAATTTAAAAATTAATGAATGTATAAAAAATAAAATGGTTCTCTTTCAAACCAAAATGGCTTTCTAGACACCTGATTTATTTTTTTAGTTAAATAATAATCTCAAATTAAATATAAAAAATAAATTTTGAATCTCAACAAATCGGTATATAGGTACAATTATCCCACATTTAGAATGGGATCATTCGCTAATTAGGTTCAGTTTGAAAGGAGTACAAATACAAATATGTATTGTGCAAATACATACAAAATAATACAAAACATAAGGTTTACAAAAGAAATTCTATAAGTAAAGACCTTTGTCATCTTGGTGGAACAAATTAGCATGGTTTTAAAAACGTCATTGACCCAGGTGGTTGAATCTTTCAACCCAGGAATTAATCATATTTTGGTTTTATTTTGTCACCTAGCCCGGATTTTTTCCAAATAAAAAAAAAACAATTAATCAGTTGGAAATCAGATGTTTGAACCACTAAACTGCTCGACCCGAGCAACAATTTATGGTTTGATAATAAATAATCAAAATAATATTTTAAGAATTAAAATGACAAAAAATGTTAAAATAAGAGCAGGGTTGACCACTTGACTGGTTAGTGGAGGAAGAGAATGTAATTTTGGTTGGAGAGAGAGAGGAGACAATTGCCATGGCCTTCTCTTCTTTCTTAGCCACAAGCCACCCCTCTAACACTCGTCTCTCCTCTTCCATCTTACCCTAATACTATAATCTAAAGGCTAAGATGTAATATACATAATGGGTTGTACTGTAAAATCTACTTTTTGGGCAGCCAATTCTACAAGAAAAACAGCCTAAGGCGGCGGTTTAGAGTCGGCGCTCTTTAAAACTGCCGCCTTAGAGAAAGCTAACGTGGCGTTATCAAAATGACCGCCGCTTGCTCAACTAAATTAAATGCTGGGCGGCGGTCTTTCGCACCTGGCATGAGGTTTTACTCTTTGAACCGAATTTTGAGCCGGTCTAAAACCTAAAATGCCAAAATTTTGCCTCGTCTTTCCGCATTCCCGCGTTTGATCCTTTTTATTTCCGCAACTTATTACGTCCTCTGTGTTGTTTCCCTCGTCTTTCTATTGCTACTGCTGAAACTCATATGTATGTAGGGTTTTTGATTCTCTCCTCTTTCTCTCTAAACTCTAGAGGATTTTTTGTTGATACTACGCCTTCCACTTGCCATTACGAGTAATAACAAGGATGGATTTGACATGGCTCGGCGCTGCCCTTTCTCTTGCTGCTACTGCTGGTAAAGAAAAACTAACTTTAACTCTAACCCCTCTCTCTGTCTGTCCGACTCTTTGTTCTTTCCTATCTCTCTCTCTCTCTCTCTTGCTGTCTCTATTTTCCGTATATTTGTAACCCTGATCCCTGTCCGACTCTTTGTTCTCATCATTTGTATCATCTGTATCAAGGTGGGTGATACCGTTTATTTGGATGCTTCCGTGTGGCTTCTATATTTGAATGTAAGTGTTTCCTCTGGCTCACCTTATTAGGGTTTATTGGATTCATGCAGAACAAGCTTCATCATCTGAGGGGACATCAGCCGATGTTCTGGAGAATTTAACGCCCAAGGTTAGGAAGTGCATTGAGGTTCTCAGAAGGATCTAGGTTTGTCTATTTTTTGCCACTCCGATACTTTTGCTTCTGGTGAAATAAAAGTGCTTACTAAGTTATTTCGATTTCTAATTTTTTTATGGATTTTTTTTCTCACTACTGTTAATATATTGGAGTTTATATTAATTACTCTGATTCGAGCAATATGTGTGAAAAAGGTTGATTGGTTAGATTCATTTGATTCATTTGGCTAGGTAAAAAGGCTTCTTTCCTTTTTTCTTCCTCCATAACATTTTATAGTTTTTGAATCTCCTTTATATTATTTTTTGGGAATTCGAAAAGGCTTATCTGGTAGTGTCCCTATAAATTAAATGAAGAAAAATTGCCTGCTGTTTTTTGCTGAATATCTCTATTCCTCTGAATAAATAAGATGACTTTTCTTTAATTTCTTTTTTATTACTTCTGTTATTATCTGTGAAGAAAACTTTTAATTTTGGTGTCCCATTTCCCAATTCTGTGACTGCTGTTACCACAACTGCTTGGAAGAAAGACAGTTCACAAGCAATTAGATAAGTTATATTAAAGGGACAGTTCCACTGAGAGAATCCTAAAGACAAAAATTCAATAACTTGTTAATGGAAACAATTCTCCCAAATGGATTTACTAGCCCCTGCTCCCAACAAAACCCAAACACCCCATGGAAAGTAAAAAGAACATGGAATAATGGAAATGAGTAAGTTTTCTCCCCTTTACTTGTTGAACTCCACACCCAAGGTTATATTAGAACAATTTAACTTGGGACTCTGCAAATAAATGTGAAAAAGATACAAAAACAGAGCATAATACAAGTAATCAAAATTTCAGATTATTGGTTTCTCCTCTTATTTGATAAGTTCTAGCCACATTCATACCTTGGGAACAGGTTTCAGTCATAATTTCCCATATTTCTTTGTTGTCTCCATCCACATGAAGTTGCGTTCAATATGTGGCTTTATTGAATTCACAGGCTGGAGATGGCCAAATAATTCTCTTACATGCACTTTGAATGTGAAGAATCAGATTTCTCTGGTTTGGGATGATCCAATAATATACCCTAACTTTCCCCTACCACCAAAATAGATGCAAATGGATTGGGACCACTCTAAGGAGTGTTTCAGGGTCCATCTTTCTTCTTTACTACTTTTTTCTCTCTTACTATGGCTCTCAAGGATCAAGCATATATTAAACCTGTCTAGAGAGGCTATTATTTTCTAAGAAAATAGGTCCTTTTCTTCAACTGATAGAAGAGTTTAAGATTAGAATAAACCAAAATTCTGATATTGCACAAAAATTCCCACAGAGTTGATTAACCTTTAACCAGAAAATTGATAGAGAAAAAGAAAGAAAAGAAAAATAAAAAAAAGATGTAAGCAATGGCTGATCACATGGTAGGAGGTTCTCAACTACATTAAAACAAATCAGCAGTATATTCTTTTGTTGTTAACATTGAAAGTTTTAGTGCCTATGACTAAGCAAAATCATCCATTTGATTAGAAACAAATCTAAACATCTAGAAAATGTCATTAAAGTCCAATTAACCAACAATAATTCTGTCAAAACATTTTGAGTAGCTTGTCTTGTACCATCTGATCATGGTGGTTACTGGTTGGTCAAACAATAGTATCCCTGCAACTAGAGAGACAAGGCAAGACCCACAAATGTTGACAAAGAGTTCAAAGAACCAAGTAATCGGGCTTTCAACCAACAGATGCTAAGACCCAATATAGCTAGATGAACTCAAAACAACCCACCATTTACATTATTCTCATGCCCAAATATAATCTCCATATGTCTACGTTGAACAATTGATGCAAACATCCATGATGAGAGACCTATTCTTTCCTGTAACATGTGGTTCAACTTGTGCTGATCCACCTTGTTCCCAGTTTAATTGATTGGTCAACCAAACATGCCCAACTGCTTTGGCTTCAAAATGGCTGGCCAGAACCCTAAACACATATTGAGAGAATTGCATGTTGGACATTTGGAACTTATGCTTATTTGCTTTTGTTTCTTCTTTTTCTATTTCTTTTCATTTTCTAAATATCTTCTGTTGTACACAGATAGACTTGTCGGCTGGTCGTAGAAGCTGCTATTCAAACTTTCAAAGTCTTCAGTCAAAGTTTAAAGGGTACTAGAAAGTTTCAATCTGGAATGGAAGTTGCTATTTGTTTGTGAAAATTCATTGTGATTGATAGTAGTAGGCAAGTTTTTTGGTTATTATCTAGGACGCACACTGAAGAACCAAGCTCTTTCATGGTTTGCTATCTATAATTTGATTTGAAAGTTTGTAGGTATGTACCTCAGAAGAAGAATGTAGATTTTCCAAAATAAGTGAGCTTTTTGTATATGAGAACTTCAGTAGGATTCCTGTAGAGAGAGTGGAACCAAGTTCAAGGCTTATGCTTTGAATATCTGTTAAGATGAATCATTAAGATGCTTTGAAATATCAGTAGCGTTCTTGTAGAAAGGACAGCCTTTTAGCTATCCTTTCTGTATGGCTGCTGTTAAGATGAACCATTAAGATGGTTTGAAATATCCGTAAGATTTGGCAAAAATTTCCCAAATCTCCCATTTAACCATTTTAATGGAGTGATACAAACATTTCCAAGAATGTGTTTGCTTTAAATTGAATGTGTTCTTATGAAAACATTAATAATTCAAGTAAAGACTCATACCTTATTTTGCCTGTATTTTTTGTACATTTGCTTTAAAAAGTATGCATTTTGGATAAGATAGAGTGAATTCAACCTTTTCTTTGAGAAGACAGATTTTTAGTTTGTTCTGAATCATTCTTGTCCTAAACTGATCATTAAGGTCATGATTAAATTGGGCTGTATTTTGTTATCATTAATAACAGGGCTAGAAAAGCTAATGAAAAATTAAATAGAAAAGCTAATGAAAATTAGGGGGCAGGGCTATAAATAGCAATTACTATAATTATGTCTATGTCCTTTCTCTCTGATCATCAATCTTGTCAGGACCATTCTATTTGTTTTCCAGTTTTTATTTAAGAAGGCCAGAAGTATGATTGGTGTTGAGTCAAACCTGACTCACGTGTAAAATGATTTTCTGATGTTGAAAGTGGCAGGGCAGAATTGGGGCCGAGTGGATAATTTCAGATATAATTGCTGTTTTATGTGTGGATGCTTCTCTCCCTGTGTTGGATCGATATGTGGAAAAGCGAGTAGACAGCATGATTGATGCTGGCTTACTAAATGAAGTTTATGATATTTATAGCCTGACTTCAGATTACACTCGGGGGTTGCGGCAGGATATTGGCGTACGCGAATTTGAAGATTTTCTTAGAATATTTCATTCCAATACAAATGCATCTCATTCTCGTATCACAGATTCACATTATGACTCAAGTGCTGGGTGTGGCACGAGTACATCGACAAACAAGGGAAATATGATTTCAAGAGAGAATTTGAGGGCTATTTTGGATTTCTCTGATGATGACTTTTACAAAATTATCTTACAAGAAGCTATTGACAAGCTAAAAGAAAATACCAGAAGACTTGTTCGTTGTCAAGTATGTGTACTACTTTCACTTCTTTATGTGTCATGCTTTCTTGCTTACACATGCATTCCTGGTTAAGGCATGATAAGCATACTTATCATACTGTAGTTCAATTTTCAGAAAGAATTGGGTATATTTTTTGCTTAGTACAACTCACCTCAAAGCTCAGCTCAGCATTGATCCCCAACTTTCTAGGATTGGTCACATGAATCGTCTTCTGTCATTGTTCTGTATCATGAGCCAAATTTTATGTCAAATCATAAGCTCTTAGATTATTTTCAGCACTTAAACCCATGCTTTTCTTGGTATTCTCCTTGCTCTTTTAGAACCTTCTACTTGTATCAAATTACTCCAATTAGTGCAATTATTAGTCATATATGCACCATATCAAACCATCTTGGTCAACTTTTACTCATCTTGTCACTAATTGGAATTACTCCTAGGTTCTCTTCAATGCACTTAATTCTTTCTTTTCTAATCTTTTCACTCATCCATCTCAACATTCTCATCTTGTTCATGGTTGAAAATGTCTATATATTTCAACAACATATTTCCATTTCCATGGGTACTGATATGAAATATTATTGGAGTATATCTTGACAAATTTCCAAGTGCATTTAAAATATTTTATATTGTATATATTGGAGTTATCATTAATAACAAGGCTAGAAAAGCTAATGAAAAATTAAATAGAAAAGCTAATGAAAATTACCTCGTGATGCCTTGTATATATTCTAAGGACAAAGGACCGGCCCATAGATAGGTTTGAGCCCCCATAACGTGCCACCTATCCCTTCTTTTGAGTAGAGGAACCAGCATTCCATGTTTATTCTCTAAATTCTAACAGATCGTATTACTTGAATGGTAGATTTGGAAAAGGACATATACTTAGCTAGGATTGGATGGTAATAGGAAACAATTTCTTCATAATTCAATACTTGAGTTCTTAGAATTTTATATACCATATTTATCTTACTAAGATAATTTCTCTTTGCAGGGTTTACATCTGGACAACATTCTTGTTTTTTCTTGTCATATTCAATGCTTGCATTACCATCACTAAATTTGGAAGGATTGCATGGGGCGTTTTGGCATGTTAATATTATAGTTGTTCTTCTAATCCAAGAGGCCATCAAGGATTGCATTATATTTTGCATAGGTAAATATTTATTTTTATACATATTTTTATCAATATCTCATTTACTTTACATTTTCTAACAGTTTATATGTTATGATTTGCTGGTTTAAGTAGATTTGCATTGGAAGATGTGCTACATTATTTGACAAATTGAATGTTTTCGAAGTCCTTGTATTTTTTTTATATGTCAATTGGATATTGTATCTGAACAAATTGTTCTGGATATTATAGCAATTAATTTTGTAAATTAATAGATTTTGTTTTAAATTGCATTTTTTATTTAAGTTGTTTATAATATATCAATTGTCATGAGATTTGTATTAAACATCTATTAAAGTGATGAATGTTGGAATTAAAGTGTAGGTACAAAAAATGATGCAATTAACCTAGTATAAAAATAATAAAAAAAGAAATATCAAAGCCGACGGTCATCCAACCACCAATTAAACATAAATAGGACCTAAGGCGACGGTCATATGAGATCTAATCCGGGGGTTTAGACCGCCACTTAAAAACTCAAGCGGCATTTGACAAAACCTAAGGCAGCGGTTTAGATGGCCACCAAAAGATGCAATTTATGTTTGACAAAACCTAAGGTGGCGGTCTTTACTGTTGGCTTTATTGATGCTAAGCCGGTGGTTCTGATTGACCGCCGTTTTAGCGTATTTCGAACTGTCTCAGACCGGCCATCCAAGGCGGTGGTCTTTTTCATCTGAACCGGCGGTCCTGATCTAAGGCGGCATGGCTTAGGGGGCGGATGCCTGACTGCCGCTTAGATCAAGGGTGGCGGTCTAAAGGCCTAAGCCGGAGACCGCCGGCTTGACCAATTTTCTTGTAGTGCAATCTCCGTGGAGGTGCAGCAACGTTTCATATCTTGTGCTGTTTGGAAGGACATTTGAAGAAGCGGGTCGTATGGGTGATTCAGTGTGGCACCTCTCCTTGATTTTTGAATGCCATATGGGAACGGCAGAGTTAACATTCTATTGAAGCAAAGGAAAGTTCACCGGATGATTGACTTTCAGAGGAAGGGGTAGGTATGACATGTCGTTCAGATCGGGAAATAAACAGCAACGAAGCACCTTCTCGATGTATGAAACATATGGCTGGCGTCGAGGCGAGGGATTTTGTAGCGGTCGACAGCAAACTTATCGGAGGCGCACCCTCTCTGTTCAGCATGGAAGCAAATCTCCCCCTGCGGCTATCCCTCTCTACAGCTATCCTTGCGAAAAGTTCCCCTCGCACAGTGGTAAGGGTTTGGCCGTTTGGGTCATGGGGGTTTTCTTCACACTTTCAGTGATCCGTGAAGCACTAGATACTTTTCCTCAATCGCCACATCACCGTCCATGTATGCGCCATGTCAAATGTGTGTTTCGTGGAAAGCGAAGCATCCGTTTCCATTTATCAGTTGTTTTTTTTTTTTTTCTGGATGACAAATCTCACCAAACAGCTGATTATCAGTTGTGACACCTACCTGGCAGCGATTATTGAAAAACGTCCACGGTTCCAAATACAGCTAAAGAAATACACTTGATTGAGCCCACAAACGCCCACGGTTCCAAAGACGGCTAAAAAAATACACTTGATTGAGCCACAAGTGGCAACATCTTGTCCGTGTCTATCTTATACGTCTCAGAAAAGAAACAATTATACCATCAAACAGTTTGTCAAGTAGTGCATTAATACTAATATAAATCATGCTCATTGTTGGAATATCAATGATGCCGGACATTGACCATGACCAAAGCACACGGCTTTCCAAATAAGGGATTAATCATCAACCGATCAAGTGACATGGAGCTCATCTTCGTTGACTTCTCAAAAGATGCTCTGATAGCGATACATGCCCCACAATCTCCATCTATATATGCACATCACATTTTTTTGGTCGTAAAAAGCATCTCAAACAGAGAAATGGATACTCCTTTGCTCTCCGTTCTCCTTCTCTTCCTCCTCGTTTCCTGTTCTCTGCCATCTCTTACGCTCTCTGCTTATTCTTTCCGCTGCCATGCATCTGACAAAAGAGTCCTCTGGAAAATAAAAAAATCTCTGAAAATCCCCCATTACTTTGATTCCTGGAATCCCAGCACCGATTGCTGTAACTGGAACTACGTCGGATGCGATCCTTCAGACCGCGTTACCCAAATCCTATTCTACAACATCCACACTCCTTTCAAGATCCCAGAGGCCGTCGGTGACCTTCCATTCCTGAAGACTCTCGACTTCGATGACATACCCAATTTCACTGGTTCCATCCCCTACTCCATCACAAAACTTCAGAACCTCGAAATACTCCGCATATGGAACACCAGCCTCTCCGGTCCTATCCCTGAATTTCTAAGCCAATTAAAAAATCTCAGATATCTCCATCTGGGGTACAACCAACTTTCTGGTCCAATCCCATCTTCTCTTGCAAACCTTAACAAGCTGCAAAGTCTTGACCTCCTTTCGAACAAATTCACCGGAACCATACCCGACTCATTTGGGAGTTTCAAAGACGGCGAATACGGCGTTTTCTCTCTCCATCTATCTCACAACCAGCTCTCCGGTGGAATCCCAACATCGATTAAYGTCTCAAGCATCGACCTGTCGCATAACAAACTCAGTGGGGACGCATCAATGTTGCTGAGGGAGAATGGAGCAGCGGAATGGATCTACTTATCTCACAACCAACTCGACTTTGATCTGACGAAGGTGAAGTTTCCAAAGAATTTAAAAGTTTTAGATTTGTCCCACAACCAGATTCACGGCAACATTCCGAAGCAGTTAATTAATAAGTTGGATTTGGAAAGCATGGATTTGAGTTATAATCAGCTGTGCGGAAAGATTCCGTTCGGTGGGAATGTGCAGAAGATGGGTGCCAAATCCTTTGCCCATAATCGCTGTTTGTGCGGCCCACCACTCCCGAACAAGTGCAAGTAAACCAGTCGGCATCCAGTGAAAGAAGACACTTGTAATCACTGCCTGAGAATTTAGATTTCAATAATAATAGTAATAATTTCTTGCAACGAGGAATTTGCTAGAACATGCAGATATGAATGTTGTTCTCTTATTTTTAATTTTTTTTAGTGAATAGCTAAGATAAAGTTCTATCTGTTCATGTTGTAACTTTTCTTGGCGTCATGTCCCTGCTTCCATGCCAGCTATAAGATATTTTTCTACTTTCTGTCATATATACTGACGATCATTTGGTTGAGAAATGTCTTACCTGCAAGGAAATTAATTTCAACGGTAACATAGGCTCATGGTTTGATGAAATTCGTTTAGTGGAACTAATTTGCCAGTCATGATTTAGAATTTTCTTGTCCAGTTCACCAGTGAAAAAAGGTTTCTTTTGAAGGATTCACTGTGTTTTTCATATTTATGCAATATTCAATAAATAAAAAAAGATGGTTACTAAAGAGAGAGATTTGAATTTTTTTTTGGAAATAGTAAAATAATCCATATATAAATTAAATGGCTCTATTTTAATATTTTACTTCGAAATTCCGTTTTAAGCTCTTATGATCATGAATTAGAGTTAAGTCGGATTGCCAAACTCAAAAAAGGATTTCAAATTACATTGAGTTAGTTCTTTAGGGTTCAAGCCCATACAAAGAGTAGCAAATTCCCAATCCAACCTTATCGAAGTTGCACCCCAGTTCGGAGTTGGATTTGCTCCTCATAAATCTATCCTCCCACTCATCTCACCCCCTTTCTGCAGCCGCACATCATGAAACAATCTTCCTACTTTTACGTTTTTATTCATGGGGAGATATTGCAAGGATTATGATGTGGCCGTAGGGCTGGCAATCTTAATCCCAACCCATTCGATCCACCCACCTTGGAACCCACTCATACCTATCCATTCTATTGGTGGATCAATATGGGTCGAACAACCCATTAGGGTCAGTGGAAAAGGGTTAGACTGGATTGGGTCGAGGGTACCCATTAGGGTCAAGATGGGTTCAGTCGAGGGGGTCAAGGGTTGGATCAATGATTTTGCCAAGCTTCACAATAAAAAATGTATTTGAGTTGAGGGGGTCAAGGGTTGGGTCGACCACTCCACCTAGTGCATTAACATTCTACTTCAATTCCAATCCACCAAGCAAAATGAGATTTTGTGATTAAAAGTAATATAAAAATGGTTTTATTAACTTTTGTGTTCACGTGCAATTTAAACAAAAATCAAATATTTATACTTAACAACTCTTACCAAAATTAAAAAATAATAGTAAAAAATAGTATTTTATAAACTAATAGAATAAATAATCTATCAAATGCATATTTATATAAAAAGATAATATTTAATATCAAAAAACTGTTTACAAATAGAATATTAATAATAGAATAATTATTTTAATACTTAAGATTTATAAATTCGCACATGATATAAATCTTAAAATTTTTATATTTTTTATAAATTATTAACTAATATTTTAATTTACATTAATAAGTAATAACAAAATATTTATTATTTACAAAAAATAAAAATATTATAAACAAAAGTATTGAATAATATAATATATTAAATTGAATCTATCAAATCCACTGACCTACATTTATTTCAAAAAAACTACTTTTATTTCATAAAAGTTATAGAAATCAAAATATTAATAATGGAATAATTATCTGGTATTTTTTGCAAAATTTTTGCATGTTCTACAAAGTTTTTGGTATTTTTCTACATAAATTTTACATTTTCGGGTACACAGGTCAACTCGACCCGTTTCTGCCATGTGGTAGCCTTGGTAGAGATTATTCTCTCAAATATGTTATTTTTGAGTATACGGGTTGGCCGACTTGTTTCTATCACATGGCAGCCTTGAGAGACGATTCTCTCAAAAATGTTATTTTCGGATATACGAGTTGACCCAACTTGTTTTTGTCACATGGCGGCCTTGAGAAATGGTTTTCTCAAAAATGTTATTTTCAGGTATACGGGTCGACTTGACCCGTTTATAGCATGTGGTAGATTCGAGAGAGTTTGCTCTCTCAAAAGTTCTTATTTTTGATATATGGGTTGACCCAACCCATTTCTATATTTATAGGTGATGGTAGGTGAGTTATAACCCTTTGAGAAGCATTGATGATGGGTCATGGTGGGTTGATGGGTCAATATGGGTGGATTGATATTCAACCCTTACCCAACCCAATCCACCCATTTGCCACCCCTAGATGTGGGTGTGAGGACCAATTTTGTGAGGAGCAAATCCAATTTCAGTTGCACCCCTATTTTTTGTTTGTATTTTTAGGTATTAAACCAAATTCATTCAACAGCACATTGGCTACAAGTGAGAGTTCGAAAGATGCATATGAAAATGTACAATGAAAGACAAAGAGAAGAAATGAGATAATGACAGACTATGTTTCACTAGTCAATGCTAAAAAACCTTGTTCCCTTTTCAATCATTTGACATCAGTTGTAATTGAGGAGATGAATTCTCTTAGACCCCATTATTTAGTTTCATTTACCCGAATAAAACTTATCAATTTCCCATGTGGGTAAGTAATTTTGTCACATTAGGGAAAAGTTTATGAAACTTAATGTGACAAGTTTACCCATTTTAACATTGGCTTTTAATAGGTATAAATTGTTATATTACTTACCTAGGAATCAAAAGAACATAGACAAGTAAACTTACTTTGATAAATACATTTACCTAAGTAAAAGACTTTTTAAAAATTTAACAAAGTATGAGAATCAAAAGAATATGGATAAGTGAACTTATTTGGATAAATCCACTTACCCAGGTAAATGACCATTTAGGCCTTAATAATTTCCTGCATCAGTGATATGCATTGCACGCACCAAGGTCGTTCCTTATTCTCGAGACAAGAGAGAGATTTACTTTCCAAAAACAAAGTTGGACATGCCAACTTCTAAAGCAATTTGGAAACCCTCCCACATAGCTTGAGCTTCAATCTCCATGTTTGAACATTCGTTATAATACTGGTTGATTGATTACATGTTTCTCCGATAAAATCCATACATACATTTCCATGATTTCCGGTATTAGAGTTTGCATTAGTGTCAACTGTTTCGAAAGTCGAGGCTTTCTTTTAAGTTCAAATCAGGTTCAACCAGATCTTAATTGCCCATTTGGGAGGGCTTTCGTTCAGCTAAGAAATATTGAACTTTCTGGTGCAGATAGTTTTGTGACTTTTTCAAGTGGTTCAATGAACATAGCTCAAATCAAAGCTGAAGCGGTCAATAAACTGTTGATTTAGGCAGTTGAACCATTGATCCGTTTGACCTATTCAATGGTTTTTTGCCATTTTTAAATATTAATTATTTTTTATTTTTTTATTATTTATTTTGTCAGAATGGGCCATTTGTTCTGATCAAATGGTTAAATTGTCAACTCAAAAATTAGTGGCTAGAATGTTCCGGTTTTAGGTCATTTGTTATTCATGGAGAGATGCTCCCAATTATGTATGACTATAATGGCTGATTGGGATGTTGTTGCACTTTGTGTTGGTAGCAGATCTGAATTCAAATTTGGGGTTATAGACCAAAATGTTTATTTTGGTTGATTGGCACTGTAATACTTAATGTTCAAACTACCCATACTATTGACCAAAATGTTTATTTTCTAAATTTTTTCTTCATATTGATTACTATCCTAAATCTTTTCCGAAATTAATTTATTTTTCAAAAGGTAAAGCAACAATTGTAAATTTTGTTTTTGTTATTGTTCGTAAAATTTCTATTGTTTTTCTCTATAAAAAAGGTCTCAATTGTAACTTTATGGATATTTTAGACATTTTATCCGTCTAGTTAGAGAATTCCATCAAAAGCGTTCTAGTTGTAATTGTGTCAAAAATTTCAAAGTTTATCCTTCTAATTATATGGGCCCTAACTGTAGGGTTCCCTATTCAAACACCAACACCAGGGCACACCATTAACTATATGAGCACAAACTGTATACATTTTGACGGAACGGGATCTGCTCCTCACATGCACATCCATCGTGCATTGAAAACATCACGTGTGAGACGCGTGTGAGGCGAGCAGATCCGGTCTCACATTTTGAACATAAAAATGCATACTTAAATAAATAAATAACTAAATATATCAATTCTCCGCGTAGCAAGAATTATATCAATGATCTGTCTGACTGTCTTGTAGTGCATTAATGGTTGATAATAGATTCTCATCATGCCATGATGTGGACAATTGATCCAAATAAAAAAAAACTAGCAAAAACTAATTGGTGGGTCCCTTTCTATGACCATTGGGATGTGCTACACTCACAGGGCGTCTCACAATAACCTGCACATTCTACTATAAATAATAATATTTAAATATGAAAAATATTTCCAATGTGCGGTGGAATGTACTTATGAGGTCGGTGTAAGGCGCCTCGAGTGAGGTCTCATCCAATAGCGATAGACAGTCTGACATTGTTGGCAATATCACTGATGCCAGAAATTGACTATGACCGAAGCACACAGACTTACAAATAAAGATGGAAAAAACCAAGTGACGTGGATATCATTTTCGTTGACTACTCAATCATTCGCTGATGCATCATCATGTTTAACCACAATCTCTCTCCATAAATCCACAAACGTAGGACTCTTTTTTTCTGTCGTAGAAGTAGAACTCTCAACTCATCTCAACCAGGGAAATGGATATTCTTCACTGTGGTGTCTCTTTTCCTTTGTTCTCTGTTCTCATGCTCTTCTTCCTCTTCTCCTCTTTTCTACCATCTCTTACACTCTCTGATTCCTCTTCCTCTTTCCACTGCAATCCAGCTGACAGAAGAGTCCTCTGGGGAATCAAGAATTCTAATTCCCCATTACTTCGACACTTTGAATCCTTGGAAACTCAGTATTGATTGCTGTAGTTGGAACTACGTTGAATGCGACGCTTCCGGCCGTGTCATCCAACTTTCCTTCTATACAATCCATACCCCTTTCCATATCCTGGAGGCCATCGGAGACCTCCCGTACCTAAACTATCTCGTATTCAAAGACATCACCAATTTCACTGGTTCCATCCCCTACTCCATCACCAAACTTCACAACCTCGAATTTCTAGAAATACAGAACACCAGCCTCTTGGGTCCCATCCCTCAATTTCTCGGCCAACTCAAAAATCTCAAGTCCCTCTTCTTGGGTCACAACCAACTCTCCAGTCCACTCCCGGCGTCTCTCGGAAATCTTAACAGACTTGAAGTTCTTGACGTT